GCCCTTCTTGGGTCTTCGTGCATGGGTGTGCCTTCCTACATCCCCATGAGTGGAGTTATGCTTACCTGTTCCTTTATAATATTACCCCTTGTCCTGTTTGGGATACAATGTTCCATGGAAACACCTTTTGTGTGTCCCCTTATTTTACTGTGCCCTTTGGTATGGCCTACCTAGATGTCAGTCAACCTCCTGAAAGCAGGCATCATTAAGCTAGACTCAGCCCCTTGAAACCTGACCCCTTGCCTCATTTGAATAGCTTCTCCTCAATAAAAGGGGTCAGCATGTGCGGGCTTCTCTTTTTATCTCTCTCTCTCTCTCTTCCTTCAGTCCCTTAAGGTCAGAGGAGCCATCACAGCAACCCCAAATTGCAGATAAACACAGCCCTGTTAGCCCAGTTCCCCTGGAGTGACCCCTGAGTGTTTTAGTCTCGAGAGTTGGCGATTCCTCAGAAAACTTGAAATGGAACCACCATTTGACCCAGTTATTCCACTCCTTGGAATATACCCAAAAGACTGAAAATCAGCATATAAGAGTGATGTAGCCATATCAATGTTTATAGCAACTCCATGCACAATGGAACTAACCTAGGTGCTCTTCAACAGATGAATGGTTATAAAAATGTGGTATATATACACAATGAAACATTACTCAGCCATAAAAACAATGACTATGACATTTGCTGCTAAATGGATGGATCTAGAGACTACTATTGTGCTAGGTGAAATAAGCCAATCCCACAAAACCAAAGGTTGAATGTTCTCTCCAATATGTGGATGCTAACACACAACAAGGTAGGGTAGAAGGGGAAAAACAGAAGTTCACTGGATTAGACAAAGGGAAATGAAGGGAAAGAAGGGGGGACAGGAATAGGAAAGACAGTGGAATGAATCTAACATAACTTTCCTATGTACATATATGAATATACCACAGTGAATCTCCACACCATGTACCACAAGATTGAGATTCTAATTAGAATAAGAGATACTCCATGTTTGTGTAAATATGTCAAAATATACTCTACCGTTAGGTATAACTAAAAAAACAATTTAAAAAAATTAGAAATGAAGTAAATACAATTAAAAATTGAAAGCAAACAAACAAACAAACAAAAAACACCCAAAATGGTGTTGCAGCAGACTGGGTGAGAAATAATGGGAAACTTAAAAAGAACAAAAGCAACAAAGATATAACAAATGGAATCAAGAGGAAATATGGAAATAGAATTTACAAGACATGTATCTATTTGGCTGAGGAGGATGAGAAAGGAGAAGATAAAATAATTCTTTAATTTCTATTTTTGATAACTGTATGAGCTTGTTATATAACATTTAATATTAAAAATAAGAAAGAGTGGTTAAGATACATAAAAAAGAGCTATGAAATTCACCAAGATACAGGGGCTGGGGATATGGCTCAAGTAGTAGCGCATTCGCCTAGCATTCATGAGGCACCACATAAAAATAAAATAAAGATATTGTGTCCATTTAAAACTAAAAAATAAATATATAAAAAAGAAATTCACCAAGATACAGAATATACTAAAGAAAAAATTTTCAAGATACAAGATTATGGCTGAGCATGGCCATGGTGAATACCTGTAATCTTAGCAGCTTTGGAGGCTGAGTCAGGAATATTGAAAACTTCAAAGCCTGCCTCAGCAAAAGCAAGGTGCTAAGCAACTCAGTGAGATACTGTCTCTAAAATAAAATACAAAAGTGCTGGGTATGTGGCTCAGTGGTTGAGTACCCCTGGGTTCATTCCTCATTCAAAAAAAAAAACCCAAGATTATGAATACAATTTATATTGTGTTGACTTTGTGGGGTCTTTAAATTTTAAATGGAAAGGCTGGGGTTATAACTCAGTTGGTAGAGTGCTTGCCTTGCATGCACAAAGATCTGGGTTCAATCCTAAACACCAGAAAAAAAAAATCCCAATGGAGAACTTCAGTAAGTAGTTGGATATTTAAATCCAGTGTCGTAGAGAGATATTGGGATAGAAGTTCAGGTTAAGAATTGTAATCATAAAAGTGGGAGTGAAAGTATTCGAGTAGATAGTTCACCTAGGATTAACAAAAGCTTTGGCCAAAAACAAAGGGCCAAAACCAGAATCATGGGAAAGGCAAATTTAAAGATTTGTCAGAGTGGGGCTGGGGATGTGGCTCAAGTGGTAGTGTGCTCGCCTGGCATGCATGCGGCCTGGGTTCGATCCTCAGCACCACAT